GCCGCCGTCGCCGTCGCCGTCGCCGTCGCCGTCGCCGTCGCCGTCGCCGTCGTCGTCGTCGTCGTCGTCGTCGTCGTCGTCGTCGTCGTCGTCGTCAGGGGCCTTCGGCTCCGCGGCCGTCGGAGGCCTGCGGCGGCCCGCGGCGGCCCTCGGTTTCCTCCGGGTGGCTTTCTCTGGTGGATATCTCTCGTTATTCGAGATCCTTTCTCTCGGCCATTTTTTTTTTCCGGATAGCTCGTAGAGAGCTGAGAGGTTTCAGATTCAGACGCCGGAGGCGCAGGGTAGCCCCGGAGCTCTATCCGGACTCCGACAGGAGGCCTCGGCGCGAGCTGCTTGAAGCTGCAGCGTGTCCCGGCAGGCCTTCTGCCCGGAATCTCCCCAGAAGGTCCTGCGGAAGCTCTCTCCAGGAGCGTCCGGAGTTCTTCGACAGGCCTTCCCACCCCCTCCAGGCGCCCTGCTATCCCACAAGCTCCTGTCTGTCCCTTCAAGGCTGCGCCGTCCTACTGAGTGTCGTTGTCGGCCCCCCATGGGTGGATCCAGCTTCTTCCCGGTGTGTGAGCTGGGCCACTAGGCGCGCTTGCTCGACTTGTTCTACGCCGAGCCGCCGCGCGCGCGGCCGCGGCGCCAACAAGTCCTCGCCGCCTTGCCCTTCCTCCTTCCGACGGAGGAGCGGTCCAGAGGCAGGGCTGGGCCGAGGCATGAGATTGAGGCAGCCTCGGGGAGGGTGCCCGAATGCTCTTCGTGCTTCTTGGATGTTCTCGTGCATCTAAAGTCGGGGCCCTGAAGAAGGAACCCTTTTCGTTGGGGAGGGGCTCCGTGTTCCTTGATTGCTGCACAGTTTGCCTTGGGTTTTGCTTTGGCTTTCGATGGGACATCGAAGTCCGACTTGTGGATCTGAGGGGCCTCGTTCCTTATGTAGGGTTCCTTGGGTCAACGCCCCGACTGTAGGGTCGGGCCGAGGTATGAGATTGAGGCAGCTTCGGGGAGGGTGCCCGAGTGCTCTTCGTGTCCCTTGGCTGTTCTCGTGCATCTCGGGGGGCCGGGCCCTCGAATGTTCTTCGCTTTGGCCAGCGGAGGGCCTCCTGTCCTGGCGGGGCGCTATACTCTGCCCCCGGCCCGGCGCCGTGGGAGCGCGAGGCCGCCCCGCGCCGCCTCCGCCCTCCGCCTCCTCGTCCCTGCGCCCGCCTCTCTCCGCGGGGGGGGGGTACCGGAGGGGCTCCCCTCCCAGGGCGCCCCCGCCCTGCCCCCCCCCCCCCCCCCAAAAAGGAAAATCCTCTTCAAAAGGAATCCTATTGCAATCCTCCGCAAAAGGAATCCTATTGTGGTCCTCTTTCAGATGGGATCCCATTGTAATCCGCCACAAAAGGAATCCGATGGTAATCCTCCCCAAAAGGAGCCCTATTGTAATCCTTGAAAGCTCCTGTTACGAGGGGACTTGTTTAAAACCCTTACCCGCCCCCCCCCCCTCGCATGTGGGATGCCCGGCCGGGAGCCGCCAGTCCGTACTTTTGCACAAGGTGTGCTTCCCACGGGGTCCACCGACCCAGCCCGTGGCTAGGTACTGCTCGCGTCAGGCCGCTGTGCTGCGTGACCACGCTGTTCCACCGGGCCGCCAGGCCTTCCAGGGTGGCGACACCAGGGAACTGGGCCCACAAACGGTGCTGGGGCGCCCCAAAGCCATTTTCCTGCAAGTCCGTCTTCTTCTCCTGACGGCCCAGAGCTCAAAAGACCCGTTCTTGTTCACAGCGTCGACCCCCAGATGTCTGAACCCTTTTCCGAGGGTGGTGCCAGGCCCTTTTGTGGCCGCAGGCCTTGTGAGGTTGGAGGCCGCAAAGATGGCCAGAAGATCCTCTGTTGTGGTTTCGTTTCGCGGCGCGAGAATGTCCTGAGCAGGCGGAGGAGGACGACGACGACAACGTCGAGCAGGAGGACGAGGCTGGCCTGGCAGAGCTGAGGGAGGAAATACCATCTCGACCCCCATAAGTGGCGTGTGCGGAACAGTCTTGGGCGCACTGGCTAAACAGCCCCGCCCTGGTCGACTCCTTCCCTACAGGTGCATCTACTGAAGGGCTTCCCGTGTAGTGGGCTTGTTCAAGAGGCTCACGCTGTTCCGGCGACCCTCCGAAAAAGAGACGGCGGTTTCCGATCTCGTGCGTGTTGCTTGACCGCTCCACCGCTCCCGTCGTATTGCTTGCGCGTAATGTTTGCTGATTCCTCCTCTGTGACTGGGTTTCTTGGTGGCCTCTCGTTGGCCCAGGGAGCGGCCGCTCAAAGTTCGCTGAAGTATTCTGGGCTTTCCCCAAGTCGGCTTGCCAAAAGGGTTCTTACAGTCAACGCGCATAGTAAGGACAAACGACTTTTCCAAGGGTACCCTTGGGTCCTTGCCTGCCTCAGCCTCTGCGGCCCGTCCCTAGCAATTCCCGCGGGCCAGAATGCTTTAACTTCGGCCTCCAAGGGTCTTGCGTCCTTACCACGCGTCCTTACTATACGTTTTCATTGTATTTTGCTCAGAAGAACGGTGCCTCGGTGAGCTCTTCGCCAGGCCCGGGCCAAACCGCGCGCGCCTCGTTGCGCAGCGCCGTGCCGCCCCTCCGCCCCACGGCGCGGCGCGCTAGAGTCCCAGACCCCCGACGTCATGACGCTCTCGTGACGTCGACCTCCAGAGGTCTGGACGTCGACCCGTGGGAAAACACACACAAAAACACACACACACACACACACACTCACACACACAACAAATACGCACACTGTGTTTTGTTTGTGTTGTGTTCCCACAGTGTGTGTGTGTGTGTTTTTGGTGTGTGTTTTTTTCCCCACTGTGTGTGTGTGGGTGGTTTTGTGTGTGTGTGTGTTTGTGTGTGTGTGTGTGGCTGTGTGTGTGTGTTTTTTCTCCCGGGACCAGTTTTCCCTCCCGAGTCGTTGCCTGACGCTCCCGAGGCCCGGGAAGGGCGCCCCAAAGCCCGGTTCCCCAAGATTCCCCGGGTTCCTCGGGTTCCGCTCCCTCGGTGCCTCGGGGGTGCTACGCTGCCCGTTGCTCCGAGATGCCCCCTGTTTTCGCGGGTTCCTCGCGGTCCTCGCAGGGGGGGGGTCCTACTTGGCCAAAGGTTGGGGCCTCCTGTTTTTGTTGTCCGTTGCTCGGCGGTTTCTCGGGTTCCTCGGGTCCTTCGGGTTCTTCGGGTTCCTCAGGTTCCCAGGCAGTGCCAAGCAATGCCCAGCAGTGCCCAGCAACGCCAAGCGCTACGCCCATGCAGTCGGAAGCGTACCCCTACTTGGGGTCGCTCTGGGTTCACTTGTGGGGGCCTCATGGGGTCTTCTTGCGGACACCAGGTTCGTTTGTTGAAGAGTTTCTCTGGCATGGGAGATTACTACGGTCTGTTGTTTTGGCTTAGCGTGTCGCTCCGCCGCTTCTGGCGACACGCCAAGCACTCCCCAATCCCCAAGCGGCAGCGTCCCGAGCCTTTCCGATCCTCCCGCCCCGCGGAGCGGAGCGACGGGCGATCCGCTCACATGGCATAGCGTGGCGCCAGGGCCGCCGCCGCAAAACGCTAAGCAAAAGTTCCCGATCGTAAGCCCGAAGTGAACGATGCAAGAGGCTACCGCTCACATCGCTCTGGGGGCCCAACCTGGCTCCAAGCTGGTCGAATCTGAGGCATGACACCAACATCGAAGCTGGAGTCGGGCCATCGGCACTCCTGCCGAAGTAGCGTCATGTGCAAGACGACCAGACTTCGGCCTGCATCGGTTTCCCGATGCTTGCTTTTCGTGTTCGGGGTGTCCTTTGCGTGTCGTATGACCGGGGAAACGTAAGACTCGAATGCGCCGGAACTCGGTTCCGCCGACGCTTTTTGACGAGCGCGTCCTGGATTTTGACGGTGCAGTTGGCCTGGGTTGCGTGCAGCGGAAGTTTGCGCCAAATTGCAGGCTGGGTCTCGTCCTTTTCATGATGGCCCCTCGTTGGCCGACCCAAGTCCCCCGAACCCGAGTCTTACGTCTCCCCGGCACGTCGGATGGGCACCAAGCCAGGATGGGCCTTGCCAGGGCTGGTGGCGGTGCATTGCTTGGAGCTCTCTTATTCCTGCCCTCCCACGGGCCGTCGGCCGCCGCTGCGCTGGGGAGGCGGGCCAGCGCTCGGGCGCGGGACGGGGTGGGCACGAGCGGGCGTCATGGCCAGCTCAAGATTCAAAGGAGGCATGTTCGCCTCAACATTGCCATTCTAGACTGATCCACGCACGGATCCCATTCTCATCGCTGCATCACTGGTTTCGTAACATGCGTAGCATGCTGTCCCCTCAAGTCGCGGAACATCGCGACGGACCGTCTGTGGCTTCTTTTGGCGTTTGGGGGCCTGGACCGGACCCACGTATTGAAATCCAGCGTTGGAGAGGATTTTATTTATCGGGGTCCAGTGTGAGAGGATTTATGAATCGCAAGGCAGTTCGCACCAGGCTTGCCAGAGAATTGGCTATTAGAGGAAGCTGCGGATTGAAAGTCAGAGTAAGAGAGGGTTCTACCGTTGAAAGTAAAGGGTTCGAAAGGAGTCCGAAATACAGTGCATTTCAAACCAGAATTGCCACACAATTGAGTTACAGAGGAATTGCGCATCGAAGTCCAGAGTTACACATGCTTTAATTGATGAGAATCCAGATTTCGCACGGATTCTGAATCACAGGGGCACCCAAACGAGAATTGCAGGATAATCGGATCCAAACTGATTCCACGCATAAGAATCCAGAATTCTAGGGAGCTTCATCTTTCAAGTTGCAGGATTGGAGAAGACGCCGAACCACAGAGCAAGTCAATTCAGAATTGTCAGAGAATTGAGACGGAGAGGCATTCACGTTTCGAAACCCAGGATTCGCGAGGATTGTACGTATTAGTGTCCAGTGTCAAAAAGGACCCCGAACCACATAGCAGTTCAATCGGATTGAAATCCAGAGTGAAGAGTGGAGAGTGGAATCCACAGAGTGGGACTCACGTATTGAAATCCAGAGTTGGAGAGG